GACCCGACCCCCCTCCTGTCTCCACCCGTAAGACCGTGCGGCTGCCGGTGTGACTGAATACGCGGTGGCGTGGGCGTGCGTCGCCTGCTAGGAGCGCTGGGAGCCGGCGGTGCGCGCTGTGCCGCGTGGGCCCTGCCAGCGGCGCGGCCTGCCGTGCGCGGGCGTGCGCGGTGTGGCTCTCGCGTGGTGGAGATGTGTCTGCAGGGGTCAGTAGCGTGTGCGTTTGTGGCGTGGCGTGGGTCGGTCTGAAAGCTTGTTGGGTGTCTGTTGCCTTCTCCAGTGGGCCGCTCTGCCTTAGGTTTTCAGGCTCCTTCTTCCGATCTGGAGATCGACAGCGTTGCCTTGGAAAGGGAAGCTGAAATTCACGTACAAACCCTAGGTCCCCAGCTGTAAGTAAACCACTAAGTGAGTAAAACTCATAAAAAAAATGAGAGTTTGCGGTTCTCCTGTTCTGTTGGGGCAGCGTGTCTGCGGAGAACATCATTTCGGGAGCTGAGGTGTTTGTGCTTACTGAGGGCTGCTGTTTGGCCAGCCGGGCTGGAGCTGAGAGCAACGCTTGGGCGGAGAGCGTGCTTGTGTTTAGAATTTGGTGCAAAAGGAAGCCATTGGGGGCAGCTGGGAGGGAGGCCTTGTCCACTGTCCTTCCTGCTTAAAAAAATCAGGACTTTTTAGCTTGTTTGCTTTGGGCCACACCTAAGTGACCCCCTCTTTCCTCTCTCCCCCTTCCTGCCCAGGAAGAAGAAATGCAATGAAAGTCTGAGCTTCATCCTTTTAGTTTGAAAGCTTTCTATTCTTAACTGTGGCCTTAGAATGGTTTAATTCCACGTTCTGGTTGTTTTGGTACAGTCTTTTTGGTACACACATGCAAAAAAGTCTGTCATTGCCTTGTGCTCTCCATCTTCGCAGAAGACGTCATATGGTAATTCTGTGCGAAACCAGAAGACTTTACTAAATCGATTCACAATCTCAAATTCATTCATAGCACCTTACTCTCATTAAAACTTCTTGCCTGCGGTAATGAATATGGAAAAATGCCATTAATGGAATTAGCTAAGTAGATGGTGAGCTGTGTCAACAGCCTGGCTGACAACTGTAGCTTCACCTATTCTGTGCAAATAGTGCCTGTTTTTTCCATCCTGCTCTTTTGTTCATTTCTTGATTTCACTCAGGCTTTATGCTTTTTACAGTTGTAAGCTCTTTGGGAACAGGGATTGCCATTTATTATATCAGTTAGCGTGCCTAAGAAAAACGGATCTCAGGTTGATGCTCTTGAAACATAAATTATTGAAATTCTACAGTATCCAGTTGTGGAGAGCGAAAAATTCCACAATAAGAAAAGGCGAGACAAAAATGGTTTTTACTGCTCTTTTCACGGTCTGGAAATCAAGTGTGGAATTTGAATAACCATGAAGGGAAGTTTTGGTAGAGCTGAAGCCTGGAGAGAGTTTGGGTTTTTTTTTTCATCCTCAGCTCTGCAATACGCATTAGAGGAGGGCTTGTCAGTGGCCCAGCTTGCAGTTAGCTACTGTTGCCTTGCTGGCAACCATCCCCATAAGGCAGATAATTTTCAGCAATGTTAGTAGGAGCAATAAAGCTAATAATCCTCTTCACTGTGATAAAAACTACCTGCATGAAAGCAAGGTACTTTGGAGCATACAACTTGCATTCCTTCCCTCTTCCCTTTATTTAATTCTGTTAAGTTTAAACCTGATGTTTGTTTTACTTCATGCCTTTCTAATTAAATTTAGTGTGCCAAGAAACAGTGCAGCCTTCTCATGCTGTTTATCCTCAATTAACTTGATCTTTCTGGGGGTTCATTGTACTCTTTCTCCTTGTCCTTTGTCTCATGTCTGTTTACACTGTAATTGTCCAGGGGTCGTGTTTTTATATGTGCTGTCACAGTGGGACTGCAGTCTTAATTATCTGAAAGACGCTATCATAATAAACGCAGTTAATAATAACTTTCTCCCTTCTATTTTGCCTGATGCACATCATCCTCTGTCCACCCCTGACAATACTCTCAGTCATTTATTTGTTTTTTAATTCCTAAATCTGCATCTGTCTTTTTTTCCATTTGACATTTAGTTTCCCAAGCTGGATAGCAAAGTTGTTGTTTTCACTTTATCATTTTTTGTGCCAAATCAAGGCCTGTTCTGCTAGACCTTGTGCCAAACCGTAGATAATTCATGCCTCAGAGAATTTAAAATGCAAATATATGAGAAGGAGAAAGGATGGTGGATGGAGAGATTTCTCACCCTCATACATGAACAGTGTAGTGATCTGCCGGTGTGGATGTTATTAATGTTACTGATTGATGCAAGACTCAAGATAATACTGGGAAGCTTCTTCCACATTCACAACTGATCTGTGGGGGACAGCTTGATTGTCCCCTGAGGGTGTTGGAATCTGGTTCCAGTCCTTCTGTGCTTTGGGGTCGATCTCCCCCTGAAGCTATTTGTTCTGGGTACAGTAAGCTGCTTGTAATGCCCAGCAGAGAGCGAGAATGCCCTTAGCTGGATGACAGAGTGCTCACCTGGACACCCAAGGCTCAAGTTTACTTTCATTCAAACTCCATCATTCATTTTGTGGGAGGAGGAAGCAAACTGCTGAAGTGCCTTACACCTGCAAGGAGCTCGTACCTGCTGGCTCTGGGTGGAGGACGGGTCTTACTTTGGTCCGCGGTGAACATCCTGCTGCTTTCTAAACTGGAGCTGTAGTTCTCAATATCTGGTCCAAAAAATTTCAAGTGCCAAACAAGATCATCGGGAATTTTTTACTGATATTGTTGGGTTTATGTAATGCCTGGGGCTCTTGGTCATGGACCAGCAGCAGTGGGTGGGACAGCAGGTTTTTTCAGTCTCATTACTAAATCTGTGATTAGTCTCCTGCACGCTCATGCTTGCAAAAGTACTGAGCATCTGGAGGGCCACTTACCCTGTGCACCTCTGTTTCCCTGTTTTTCTGTATAATTCCCTCCTTCGCAGGGCGTTTCGGTGGGGAAACTTTGGGGAAGACTTGGAGAGAGTCTCTTTCACTTCCCCAGCCCTGCTCTTTAGCAGCAGCTGGCATGGCTCGCCTCCACCTTCCTGCTAGTTATAACCATGGCCGTGTGGTTCTGCAGTCCCCTGGTTCAGAGAGGGGCCGTACACGCTCCTTAGTATTCCTTTTCCCGTTAGCATTTATAAAAGACTTTTGCACATAACTCAGATGAAAAACTCCCTTGTGCTGAGCTGAGCATTGCCATATGGCAGAGAACACGTCAGAGTAAACGCATATTTAAAGGACACAGAAATTCTGGGGATGTTGTCGGTCCAGATTCCTGGATTCTGCAGTAGCTCATTTCCTCCTTTTCCATCCCCAGCTTTTGAAAGTTGCTTCCTACACACACTTCTCTATTTTGTTCTAGCAAGAGACAGCAAAAAATTAAACCCAAAAATTCTGTTGAGTGGTAAACAGTCACTGCTGACTGATGCCCTGCACAGAATATATGAATACAGCTGAAACAGCTAAAGTTTTGTTTGGTTTCTGAGATCTGCCCCTGTTACAGGAATTAAACCAAATCTTTTGAAGATGCATGCTCTGCCGTTAAATTGCTTGGGCTGTTCTACCGAATCCAGGCAAAGAACTGATTTTGCTCCCTGAAAAGCAAGGCTGACTGAATTTATTAAAATGTTAATCATAAAGCAAGCCCGTGGGTCCCTGGGGCGAGACACAATTAAAGTTAAAACTTCCCAGCGTAGAAAGTTTTTTAACTGTCTAGTTTTACATCTTGACTGTAGGGAGAGGAGTTTCCACTGTACATCTAAGACATTGTTCTGCAGCCTTTGCAAGTTGCTGGGTTCAGCTGCGAAGATTTTAAAAGCTGCTTTTGTTGGCAGCCTAGGACACATCCGTGACCTTATTAAAGTGGAAGTGAAAGCTCTCCTTTTTTTTTTTTTTTGCAACAGTAAATCTACTAATTTTACAGTCAGTTGAACAGCAATAGATTAATTTGTTTAAAGTCTGCATTCACAAAGAAAACGTGAACTTCGCTGCCTTGAATACCCGAAACTACAGTGTGATATTTAAAGGGTAGAAACTATTACAACTTGCCCTAGAATGGTCCAGGCAGTTCCCTGTCACCTGCTTCTCAGCACAGGTGCTGACCTCCCCGTCTATTCTATCCCTCCTGACAGACTAGCAGCGAGGCTGGGGCTTTGTGTGCAACAGAGAGCGCTTTTCCAATGACTGGGCCAGTTTTCTTCAGCAACCACAGGAAGCAGAATAAAGAAAAGGTTAAGGGCCACCGCAAGGGTCAGAATGGGTTAAGTTTAGTTAACATCAGAGGTTATAGCTTTTAACAAGAGCATGAAGGAAACTTATTCGAAGATGCAATTTGTTTCTTCTTTGTCAACCATTATTTTTTTTTACTCTATTGATAGTGACAGCTTAACAAAGTTTTTATAGGCCAGGGTTTTCATCCTTTAGAGGATAAAGAACTGTGATGCAAAAAAGAGATGCAGGTGGAAGACTTTATAAAGCCTCCATGATTTTCAAATTGAGGGTTGAAAGTAGGCTCCCTGCGTGGCTAAGTCAAAAATAATTTGTAAATGTTAAAAAAAAATACACTTTACTGACAGAGGAGCTGCTTCCCCCCCCCCCCGTGTAACTT